CACCCCAGAATGAAATGGGATCAGGCAGGGGTGAGGGGGGAGTGGGAAGGAAGGCTCCAGGGGGAGGCAGGGATCCCTCCCTGCTCCAGGCAGTCTCCCAGCACGGGGAGGGCTCAGCAGCAAGAAAACATCACATTTCACCCCGGAGATATCCCAGGGATCAGCCCTGCCCAGCACACACCTCCAGCCCCAGCACGGTGGGAATTAAGGGCACGTGGAAATTAAGAGCAGGTGCTGTAAGACCTTGAGGATTCCCAAACAGCAGAGGAGAAACTGCACATCCCCAGGGAAGCTATTCCCACCTTCCTGTGAAAAACAGAATAAAGCTGGTGGATCCTGCTCGAAAGGAACTGCCACTTCCATACGCATAAGGGAGCAGAGAATCTGTGGAATGTCAGAAGTTGGAGAAACATGTATTTAATAAATAATATAAAATGCATTTTCGTTTTCTTTTTCCTGTTAAAATAGAACTCTCGGGTTTATACCTACAGAGCGTAGCGACCTTTACATAAACAAAATAAAGCTGAGTCTGTGGTGATTAGTTTAACACAAAATAAAAATACAATTTAACAACAGTATTAAAACAGCCAATGTTCCATCCACACAATATGTACACCATGGAATAGAAACCAACAGGGAACAAAACTAGATTAATCTCAGAACTCCTCAGACATTTGGATATACAATATTTTCTCTGTATATTTAGATATTCTCCTTTGTTTTCGTTTCTTTTTTTGTACAATATTAAAATTAATACTATGTCAAAATACGCTTTTTCAGGGTTTGTTTCTTTTTCCTCTTTAATTTGCAGAACTCATTCCTTACATGAATCAAGACAACTAGGATTATTTACTATCTACTGTACACTTCAGAGAGTCCTTCCCCCCAGGGGTGTCTGGGGCTGAAGGAGATGTGTCGCTGCCGGGAGAGGCACAGCGACACCCGTGTGCGACCGCCAACGGCTGTGGGACACAGAGATGGGGGTGGAGCCAAAGAACCTGCTCCCGGAGCTCAGGAAAGAGCAGCACAGAGCTCCAGGGGCTTCACTTTTCCTGTAAACCCATGGAATGGCAATGTCACAGCACTGGGAGCTTGGTGTCCTGCTCAGGGGTAACATCAACGCCCTGAGCAGCTCTGCTGGGCACCACCACATGGATAGGATCACAACTGGCTCAGCACAAACCCACAGGGATTCCATCACCTACACAATGGGCTGCAAACACCTCGTAAGTATCAAAACCAAACCCAACGTGATGATCTGGTTTGCATTTTTTTTCCCCCCTCCTTGACACAAGTGGGAGAAGAAAAACTCCTGTGATTCTAAAGGAAAGGTGCTGAGTTAGGGAATATCCTGAGTTGGAAGGGACCCACAAGGCTCATCAAAGCCCAACTCCTGGCCCTGCACAGGACAATCCCAAGAAACAAAGGAAAACTCTGATGGGACTGAGGTCTATCCCCAGAGCAGTGCTGTTCCCAACAGCCATCCCTACCTGCCAGGCTTCCCAGACACACTTCCAGCTATTATTAGCCTGCTCCTAGTTTTTTTTGAAGCCTAATAGCAGGGGGGGAACATACCAGGAATGTCAATCCGGGCTGGATCCTCTCCAGCATTACACCAGCTCCTCTGCCAGCAGTGGCTGGGGGAGAACCCGTGAGCCTGTGGCTGCAGGCTCTGCTGGACCAGTGACAAAAACAAGACACAGTTCAAACACAACCGACAAGAAGAAGCTGTAACACTTGGAGAAGTGGATGGGCAACACTTGGATGAAGGATTGAAAAAAAAATTCGTAAATGTTCCTTGAGCAACCAGGGAGCACCCGACACTCCAGCCAAAAGCTCATCCCAG